GCGGGCGGGCCCCGGCGCCGCTGCCGGGGGCTGCTGCTGCCGCTGCAGGAGGGGAAGGTGGGGACACAGCGAGGCCAGGGGCTTTCTGGGCATCCTCGGGAGCCTCCCCCATCCCGCGCTGGGGGCGATTCCTGCCCCGCCGGATCACACCTGTCTCTAGTCCCGGGTGCAGCAAAGCTGCCGCCAAACTGTCCTCCCGCTTCCCGCCTCGGGTTTTCTGAGGGAGGCTTGGAAACGAAGGGGGCGTGTGGAGCCGGAGAACGGCAGAGTCCTGGCGGCCCGACCCCGGACCGCCCTCCCCGGGGACTCAGGCGAGAGGGAGAGTCGCACGGGGGAAAACCCGGACTCACGTCGGTCCCCGGGGCCGGGAGCTTCCGCGCTCCGCTGAGGCTGGGCAGCCGCTCTCAATTCTCTTCGAGGGGAAGAAGCCTTAAGTCCTAGAGACTTCCCAAAGCCCAGTTCGCCGTTCTGGCATTCAGTGCAGTACGGGGCTTCGCTCTCCTATTTTTAACTGACAGGAGGACGATGAAGGAGGGGAGGGAGGAGGGAGGAGAGAAGCCTCCAAGTTCAGAATTTAGACTGAAAATGTTCAACCTCGCTGTGGGCTAATGCCGAAAAAGGGCAACCACCATGAGCGTGTCCTGCCACACTTTGCTGTCACCAGTGCCTGCATGGCACCTACATCAGCCAAGCCAGGCTGGGCGAGACAATTTCTACTCCTCAATGGTCCTAATATCGAGAAAAAAAAAATGTCCACGGGTCCCTCTCCTTTCTCCCGAAAGAAGACAGCTCAGAGTAGCCTCCTCAAGCCAATGGGGATGGTGTGAGAGCCTGCGCACCCAGATCGGACAGGCGAGGAGAGGAGCTGCACCCGAGGGGCGTGAGTCCCAGAGCAGTGTCACCATGACCTGCCCTCCTGCAAGCTCTCCTTCCCTAGGCGCCCTTCCAACGGGCATTGACTTTGGGAGCGCGGTATAATTATCTGTAGCATTTTCAGCAGCCCCACAATGGGCTTCCACGGGCGGTGCATTGTTCTTGACACACACGCATTGTTCCCGGGTGTCCATCAATTCTCATTTACTTGTCACGGTGCAGGAAGCATGGAGAGGGGAAAGGAAGGGGAGGTGGGGGGAAAAGCGAGACCAGCTCGGCCGAGCTGCAGAAGCGGGTTGCAAGTCTGCGGCCGGGATGTTCTGCCTCGCTTCTCCCCATGAGGATCTCCCAGGGAAGAGATGAGCTTTCTGGGGAAAGAGAAGTAATGAACTGGGGATAATTCAGGCAAGAGCTGCTAGAGAAGCTTCAAAATATTGGAATAACTCTTATTATCAGCCCTGGAGAAAACCTGACTGAAACATTGCAGGTTTCCCCAGCAGGGCACAAAAGGCATTGCCTTTCTTTGCAAAACTTGCCTGGCCTTTAATCTTTAACCCATTGAGGGACTCTACTAGCAATAAATAAGGAGCATGCAAACCCTACCATTAGCCCTCCTGGTTAGCGGTGTTTTGTAACCTGGCTGCTCCAAAGATGTCCTCTCTCCTCTCCTACCCGCTCTGCAAACTCCGGGCCTCCGTTCTAGCGCCCATTTAGTGTCCCGGCCCCAGGCTGGAGGCTGGTGTCTCGGACACGAGTGTGTTGGCCCTGGGGTGAAGGAGGAAGAGGGCTGCCAGGGGCTAAGAGGGAGGACCTGGAAGTGGATAGGGAAACTCTCTGGCCTGGACCTCCAGCCTGAAGAAGGACGCTGAACAAAATCCTTGTTGGCCTGATTTTACTCTACAGAATCAACTCCCAAACTGACCTCCAAGAAGGGGTATAAACACACGAGTCACAGAGGATTTTCTATTTGTTAGAGCGGGGAAGTCCCGACTGCTGCATGGGCTGACAAGAAGGTTGGGAGTCCAACGTGAGCAGAGCAGCCAGTGAAATTCTGCACATTTTGCAGAACAGATATGACCAAAACTGCACAGGGAGCAAAGTTGTGCAGCTTGCCCAGGCGGAGGCCACAGCTCTGTCTGGGCCTCCCCTGGAGTCAGGGTATGGGCCAAGAAGTTGCATTAACAGACCCAAATCGGGGCAGACATATTGTTACCTTCTCAGCATATATTTTTATATATACTTATATATATATGGATATATATATATACTATATTATATATAATGCATATATCTATACAAATACATACGTATAAAAATAGAGTCATAAATAAAATCAAAAAGACACACAAAGTCTGTTTTCTGGATGTTATAAAGAGGAGGGGAGGACAAAATAAACAAACAGAAAAAAAACACAGTGAAAGTTGTGGGCACATCATTAAATAATGTCTGTCATAGGATGCAGGAAATATGAAATATATATACATATTTACTTTTATCCGTGCAGTAATTAGAAACGCTTTTAAAGAGATATTCTTTATTCATGCCACTGGTAGGAAGTCAAAAAGTGAGAGAATTGCTTTCGCAGCACGAGTTTGATATGTCTTTTAATTAAGGACTGCGTGCCCCTAATTTATTAAAGCTCATCTACTCTTCACGTGTGTAATTGACGCTGGAAGAAAATAATTACAGATCTAAGCTCCGCGGAATAGATTTGCCCGAACTGGAGCCTACTGCGACCGGAACGCGAACAAAATCCCTTTTTGGAGAGAAAAGGCACCGAGAGGGCCACGCTTTCGCCATTCTCCACGGGGCCGTCTCGCCGAGGGAGGACTCCCCCCACCCAGAAAAAA